GGTGATTGTCCCTACAGAATGCTCAGGTGGTTGATTTGTGAGACTGGAAGCCATCGGGATGCTCTCTATGTGGAAGAGCTGAGACGAGCTAGAGGTCTTGCAGAATTAATGGCAGAAAAAATCTCAGTGGAATGTCACATCTCAGCCGATCCAAAATTATGGTCTGGGATTGAAAAAGTTTTGAGTGAAGAAAGCAATTGTGTTGCTTTGTACATTTCGTATTGTGAGTGGCATGTTCATCTGTGGGTTTTGAGGGCAAATGGAGACATTGACTATCGACTGAGCCCCTAGATGAAAATCGACACTCTCATCGCTGTATCGGTTTGCAATGTGGAAGACATATTTAAGAAAAGTGCCTCTAGCTTTGGCATTTCAATCAATGAGAATTGCGAAGATCGCTCTCTGGGTAACGACATTCCCATGCCTCTTCAAGAAGACTGTCGAGCATCTTCGCGAGAAGACGAAACCAAAGACACTACCGAAAGAATTCTTCACTTGTGTTATGACCAGCTCATTGGTCCTGTGAAAGATCTACTTACAGAGCCTGAAATCATCATTGTGCCAGAGAGTTGCTCGTACCGTGTCCCTTTTGCTGCCTTACGGGATGGGCCAGCCGAAAAGTATTCGTCAGAAACCTACAGAATCCGCATCGTCCCTTCTTTGTCCACTCTCAGGCTACTTCAGGAATGTCCAGCAGACTTTCACAGTCAGATTGGCGCACTGGTAGTGGGTGACCCTATGGCTGCCAAAGTGCAATACAAAGGACGTACCATACAGTTGACATCATTGCCCTGTGCAAGAAGGGAGGCAGAGATGGTTGGTTGTCTTATGGGGGTTCAGCCTTTGTTGGGAAAGCTTGCAACCAAGAAAGCGGTACTTCAAGCACTTCACTCAGTGAGCCTGATACATCTTGCTGCTCATGGGACCGCTGAAAGAGGGGAGATTGCCCTTTCTCCTCGCTGTGCCTCTAACCATATTCCACAAGAAGAAGACTACCTATTGACAATGTCCGACATATCAGCCATCAGGCTGCGAGCTAAACTGGTAGTACTAAGCTGTTGTCATAGTGGGCGCGGAACGTTTAAAAAAGAGGGAGTCATTGGAATCGCTCGCGCAATCCTAGGATCCGGTGCACGTTCAGTGTTGGTGGCATCGTGGGCCATACAAGACGAAGCAACAGAGCAGCTTATGAATCGATTCTACGAACACCTGGCAGCTGGAGAAAGTGCCAGTGAGTCCCTTCACCAGGCCTTCAAGTGGATGAGAGGCAACGGCTTCGCTGAACCTAAGCAATGGGCTCCATTTGTGTTGATGGGAGACAACGTGACATTTGACATGACGAAATTAAGGTCAGCTTGACTACGATGAACGATTTTGTACCAGTGAACTAACCTGCCTGTGTTAAAAAAAATAGCATTTCTTTTCCCTTTCATTAGGAAAACATTTAAAAATGTTCACTTTCAGATTTCATGCTGCGCAAAAAGGGAACATTTGGACGGTTTGTCAACTAAACCGGTCATTTTTCAGTGTTACTTAAGTGTGCAAGTCATCTAACAATTATTCTGTGATGTAATTAATGCTTGACAGGACAACGGCCACAGTTTGAACGAAACAAATAGATGAATAAATTAATTGCAAAATCAATGAATGATTGTGAGAAAGCTACGGTTTAATACTATGATGATGTTAACATGGCTTTCTCGCCCGTAACATATGTTAAAATTTTTTCTTTCCTCAAATCTTTGTTTTTTAGACAAAAAGAGCTAACAGAGAACAAGAATGATACGGACAAGAGCCAGAGCATGAACTAATCCCTGACAAGAACCTTTCTTCCTGTACGCTGCGTAAAAGAGAAACTGGTATTACTATATTACTCTAATTTTTTCAAATTTTCTTAAAAATTTGTGCCGCTCTTTTGCACACTATTTTTACAGGCTTAAGTGGCCAGCAAGCGACAAGGAACTCACCCAAAAGTTGTATAAGGTTTACTAATGAGAGAAAATAATTTGCAAGTGACCGAGTTAAATATTACTAAGATATGTCTCGTGATTTTCACTTCTCAGCAGTTCTGTATTATGTAAGAGAAAAATCACCCTCAGGCTGATAGGTTTGTAGATAGTTTTGTGAGGAAATTTCACAAGCAAGTCATTTCAAGTAATTGAAGGGTGAAAGCGTAAAGCCTATGTAACTGTGCCAGTGAAGGAATCCAGGAGCTGTCAGTCTCATCACAAAAGTTTAGGGTCGATGGTCACCCTTTGAAAGCAAGCACTATGATGGGTCAAGGTCGCTTTCTTTTCCTCGAGTAGAGATAACGCGACAAAATGTAACCTTTAANTATTGAACAACAGCTCTTTGACGTTGAATGATTGAAGTTTTTCAAAGTGCCATGATCTACTGAAAAAAGAAAGCACAAAGAACAAAAACAGAACTACCAAGCATTCTTTTTGATAATAATTACAGTTCTTTCATGTTGGATAATCTGCCTTCGAAGCTCATAATTTTTCCAAAATACCTTATTCTTAAAAAAAAAAAGAAAAAAGGAAAAAAAGGCCAAACTGGACACTCTTTTTAAAGAAAATTACAGATACTTTTTCTTAACCAGTCTTTTAGGTTATGTCCTGATGAAAACATAAGTGTAACATAGTGATAGAGGATTGTTGGCCAGACACCAGAAAATGAAATTTTAACTTCAGTTCATTTTCCTAAACCTTCATGAGAACACTTTTTTCTGATATTGTTTTGATTGAAACTGAGACATGACATCATGCTTTATCAACTGTCAGATAACATGCCAGAAAAAGTAATTATTTTCTCTTGAACATGCTCAATCACATTCATAATTCCATTTGATGGACAATTGATTTGATTGACATGATCTCTTTGTGGACAGATACATAAATAACATACTGGTAACTATCTGCAGTTAAGCGAGCTAAGTGTGTTGTATTTGCCAAAAAGTAAAGAAGGGAATGCCACAAGCAAGCCCCACTTTAAATTTTTTTAATTCTCTCAAATGTTATGAGAGTGTAGACAAACCAAATGTGAAATTGACATTTGAAACCTCATCAATCAAGAAATGGGGTAGTTGATTGGTCAATATCAGTCATGATGACAGGCTGTTTAGTAAAGTAGCAGAGCTTTCACATAGCCAAGAAAACTGTTGTAAGACATGCTGTGAAATAGCACAGAAGTTCAAGCCTCTAAAAACTTTCAAAACCAGAGCTGAAAAAACATATTTTGTCAGATGAACCAAAGGAAGCTTTAGAAATATTTACATTGGATTGATTTGAATCAGTGAATGATTTTGACAGTTGCAGACACCTCAAAGAAATCATTGGTGATCTATGACTGAAAAAAAATTGACATGGAATCTATTTGTAAATAGTAATTGTCATTTTTTGTTGTATTCATCTTCAGATTATTTTACTACCCTGGTTGTAAAAGTTGCTCTATTTGCCCTGCTTCTAGTGAAAGCTGGGACTTAAGCTTTCTAACAGGTCCATTGTAGTTAAAAACTCTTTCAAGTGGATAATCATGGAATATCCCTGGATTCACTTGAATTTTCACAGTAAACTTACAAGACAGTAGGTGAGTTTATATTGTGAAAGTAGAAGGTCATCCTGGGATATAATGAGGAACTATTGTGTTTCTGTAACAACCATGTCATGGAAAATACAGTGGCCAACACAATCAATACAGCTAATGTGCAGACTTCATTTTCAATAACTTTCAACTGCCTGCAGATCCCCTTTGATCGTGACTACAAACAAATCAATCAAACAAAGTTATCATGATAAAATCTTGAAAAAACTGGAAATAGAGCTGCTTCCTGGATTTTGGCAGAATACTGATTGAAGTGCCTGATGGAAAGGTTTGGATAATACCACCAAATGCTCAATGGCTCTCCTGCATTCTGATTGGCTAAATTTTTCACGGCACGGATTTTTAAAAGGATAATGAATATAAATCTTAATATGATTAATGGTCCCGACACCCAGGTTGGCACCATTGAGTTGTGATCTAGCTAGTTCAGGTATTAGCCTTTTTACTCCTGCAATCTCCTTTTTAATTCTTGCCTCCAGCTTCCACACATTTCTGTGGAAATAGTTGAGAGAATGTTGTGTTAGATCAAGACAACACTTGGATCAGTCAGTATCTGTGTTACTGTGCACCTTCCCCTCTCATAACCCAACATTAAAGAGATTTACCACCGCGTTTATGTGAAACGGCAAACATCAGCTTGCCCCTTTCACATTTCACCTAAAATAACCCTAACCCTAACCTGGAAACCTCACCACTTTTACTTCATGTGAGCTCACATCAGGGTAGATTTGAAGGTGCACCTATATGACTTAGTAGGAATAGTTTGATGCCTTTTTTGGGATAATTAACTTCTACTCTGTGAAAAAAGAAGTAAATCTTGTGTATACAGCAAATGCGTAACAGCTTACTTTCACATAGAAACAGTGAAGGGCAACCAGCAAACATGAAAAAATTGCAGGAAAACAAGGTCATGTGGTCACTCTTGCCATTCACGTTTTATGTAAACACAATACTAAATCTCTGTATTAACCTTACTAGACATCAGTTGGCTGTTGTAAGGTTAGAGGAATGGGTAGGTGTACAGTTGCTTAGCTGCTGACATTGATCCAAAAACTTTTACCAAATAAGTTTGAGAATTCTCATTATCTGTTGGCTGGATAGTGTATGGATATTTTGTGACAAGTTACAAGTTAATCACTTCTGGGAGTTAAAGGGTTAATGTCATTACATTTTAAGATAAAGAGTCAATAAATGTTTTTGTATTTAATATTGTTAGTGTCTCATATACAGCTGGGTTAAGAGGAGAGAGACAAAGAAAAGATCACTGCTAGAAACATTAGAGACTCTTAATTTGTGAAAAAGCAAAGTCCGTGTATCAGTTCTCAAATTGGGGGTCAAACTAAAACTGTCAATTAGTACTAAGAAAGCAAAAATTGGTCAGTTTGTGAGGCTGGGAGCTTTTATTCAGGCTGACTGAAATGATCAACCAGGTACTGCTCAGATTGTACCAATGAGTTACCATTAGACTTATCCTTCTTTCCTGTTAAATGTATTCCTACAAGCCAGTGAAGTTTCCCTTTTCCTTTTGACTAGATTAAGAACACCAATGCAAGTGCAAACAATTTTGAGAACTCTTTTCCACATTCAGTGGTTAAAACTGTAGTCTTTCATCATTTCCCAACTTCTGTCAGACTGAATAGTGCAAAGGAACAAGAAAGAATCCAACTGTTCTTTGATATCAGCAAATTCATAACCAGTTTTAGTTAGTAATGCAAGATCACAGAATTTCCTTTGAGCTTTTTAAAGTTTTAAAAATCTTAAAAAAAAAGGTACTCCACAACAATAGTTTGACTGTGCTCATCGCCGCTTTTATTGGTGAGGGTGCTGGGAAAACTCTGGACAACTTAAAGAAAGATAAGCTGTTTCTATTGCTCTTGAAAGACTAACAATTACCATTTAAACCATTTGGCAACTTAGTTACTTCGATTTGGCATTGCTTCACCCCCACTGGTAACGACTGATTTCATTCATTTGTCACAAATGCCAATGTAACAGAATGAGGAAGAATCAAGTTAGTTTCAAAACAGCAACATGAGTATAGTATAAAAGATGAATGTCTGTTCTATTCATTTAGCTGATCCTGTGGCCTTTTCTCTCTTCTTCTTTTCAGCTTCAGCTTCTTTTTCTTTCTCAATGATTTCAACAAATTTATCAACCTCTTCTGGTTGTAATATCTAAGTGACCAGAGATAAAAAGATTAAAATTAGCACCCATGGAAACTTTTCCAGACATCTGTTGAAGATTATCACACTTTAAGCATGTCTATTCATAAGAATGAAACACCAAATGGAGCATATCAAGTGCAAAATTACGAATAATCTCTGCATTAAAAGAGAATACTGTAATGAAATCAGAAAGGTCTCTTATGTGGTTGGAACTGTTTCAAATCCTGCACTTGTTCCAACAAACTGAATGTCGGGAACCAGAAATCTGTCTAATACTGTGGCAGCAGTTTTGATAAAGTATAATTATGTGACACAAGACTCCACTTATAAACAGTTAATGACAAGCAAATAGTTACCTTGAGTGTTTCACCATTTCTCATTATAGCAAGTTCAATATTCTTTCCTCCTGACTGCACCACCTGCAAGAACAATACTGTTGTCTTATATGTGGTCCCCTTAACAAAACATTCTAAGCAAAATGTCAATAAGTTTTGAAAAGCTGTACTTCATTTTGAGACTTGCAAAAACACATTAACTATTCATAACTCATCTTCATGGGTGCTGTTCAGTGGAGGCACCACCAGTTTGAAACAAGTTAGAATCATTTGAACCCACAAAAAACCACCACAGGCACTTTAGAAACACATGTTAGTAAAAAATCATAATACACAAATATCTACACACCTCAAGTAAAGCTTTGATAGCTAGTTTAATTGTTTCATCATCTGAGTCGGCCACTTCCTCTGTGTAGTGTTTCTCTAAAAATTCACGAACAGTTTTTGCACTACGTCCAATTGCATTTGCCTGGTAATTAAAAAGATAAACAAAATTAATGATAGATGTAAAGAGGTAAAAATGAATTATAAAGGAGCAGCTTAAATAAACTTAATTATTACATATTAGACTTAAAAGGAAAAATCTGAGTGGTCAAGAGCATACAACCAACAAACTAAAGAGGGGGAGGTTCACATCACAAATGCAATATCTGCAGATATCTGCAGTGTGCCTAGTTTCCAAACCTCTCCTTTTCCAAACTCAGAGAGTTGTGTCTTTGTTTGCAGATTGTTTAAAAAAATGTTCCATAAATCAATCATTAAATTTGGTTTATGCACAGTACCATCAATTATCAAACCTAGTGTCAAATCTTGGTTTTGATAATTCATGATATCAAGCCCAGCCTCATCCAATGATTGCATATAATAAAATAAATAATAGCCAATCTGGATACTATTCTGAAATAATAGCTATAAAATATGTTATACCAATCAGTGCATTTGGTCTAGCACTAGAAATGCTTGGTGTCTCAGGGCTTGACACTAACTTTTCAACTTACTAGCCAAGTGGCTGGTAATAGCTTAGATGTTACAACAATTTCAGTTTGCTAACTAGCCAAACTGGCATGTGGAAACCAAAAACCACTTTCCAAAACTGAATTTCTACTAGTCTGTGACTACTGTTAGAGTGGAACCTAAGTATTTCCAGTGCAGTTTCAAAAGTTGAAGTTCCCCACCATGTCATGCAAAAGAGAACAGCTGAACCTTTCCAATTTAACAAGTCATTCAATACTGATTGAGACCCTAGACTCTCCATCTACTGCTCAATAAGAAAATAAAGTATTTCAAAGGGTGTAACCATAAGGTTGATATGAAAACAGTTAATTACCTTCCAAGCATGATATGTCCCTGATGGGTCAGTCTGATACAGATGAGGTGTACCATCATAATCAAATCCAACGATGAGTGTAGAAATACCAAAAGGACGACGACCATTGCTTTGAGTGTAACGCTAACCAACAATGATAAAAATAGAAAATGACATTAAGCTGTGGTTGGATAGTTGAAATATGAACAAGACAAAACTCATGAGAAGCTATGCAAAGAACAAAAAAAAATTTAGAAATTGCCTTTCCCACACCGGGAATCGAACCCGGGCCACGGCGGTGAGAGCGCCGGATCCTAACCACTAGACCATATGGGATTTGACATCAAGTGTGATCAAAATTTTCCTATATGAATAAATTGCGTTGACTTGACCTCCCACATTCCTATCGTATGTGGGAAACAACTGGGCAATCTTCTCTAGACGCAACCCGAATCAACGTTAATTTTTCTTCGTACCTGCTTTAGAGTTGCGATATATCTTGTTATGTACTCTAATGTAACAGGATCTTCTACGGTTAGCTTGTGGCTTTGACATTCGACCCGAGCTCTGTTCACCAAAATTCTGGCGTCCGCCGTCAAACCTGTGACAAAAGTGACGAAAAATCTTGAAAGAAAGACAAATCGTTGGTTCTTTTCAGAAGTACTCCATTACCTGCAAAAGCCATGACAACGTGGTCATCCAGCGAACAGATTTTTCTGACTGTTCGTGGTTCTTGAAGTTTGGCCACCGCTTTTCTTTCTACTCCGAGAACAACTATGTGTTTACCACGGACACCAACCTAGAAAATAACACACTAACAATCTTCCGATTCAAAGAAAAATTAACCATAGGAAAGAAGTTGTACGACACTGAAAACACCGACAAAGATTTCGTTACATACCGCAGTGGAACCCTTCTTTACGGCCTCTTGAGCATATTCAACTTGGAAAAGATGTCCATCAGGCGAAAATATAGTTATAGCTCTATCATATGAACCCCCTGACATGTCTGTTACCTATTTAGGATATTTTAGTTAGCTAATTTCAACAGAAAAGCGAAATCCCTTTTACGAACAACTCAGAATGACTTCGCATGGGGCTTAGTAACCACGCATACAGAAATTTCCCTTGAGGCACAGAGACCGTAAGGGCGCCAACTACAAACAAATATGGCGGGTTTGCAGTAAGAAAATTGAACGGGCCGAAAAACAAACTTATTGTAGAGAGATTTAGCCTTCTTCAGGCTTTCCATTCTAAGTAACTCAAAAGGAAGAGGCACTAGTCTCCAAATTTTAACATTTTTTCGTCACATGTAGCCTATGCAGAAAAGAATCGTTTGAAATGTTTGGCTCACAAAGGTGAAACACACTTTAGAGCTATGGAAGATATCGATGAAGCTACTCCTCGCGGAATTATTCGCGGTGTTTTGACAACAGAGAATGTCAGCCAAAGTGTTCGAGCTTTGAAGTCAAAGAAAACACCAAGAACACAAAATGTAAGAGAAACACCAACGGATCCTCCGTCCCATACGTCCCATTCACAAGTTGCAAGTCGGTTGCTCACTCGATCTTCCAGGAACAGGAAGAGAAAAACTGTACCGGGCACTACTCCTTCAGACTCAGCCACACCCAGAACTTTGGTATGCCTCAACATAACTTGATTCACATTTGAGAGAGATGAAACTTCTCTAAAACTTACCCTGTTTAATTTGTTCATTTCATGCATATTGGTCCAAATGTACAGTATAGCCTAGCTACATTTGGAGAAGTGACTAGTTAATTGTTGGAAATATTTCCATATAACTCCGTACTATTTTAAAACAAAACATTTGTCCCAAAGGTAAACTATTGTTTTTGCTGTTGTTTTCTGTAAGAAATAAGTCTGCTTAATGAAGTTAGGAGCCATACAGACTTTTTGCCAGTTTGTGTCGCAGGTTACACTTATGAATCAAAAAGGGTCAAGAGAAAGGTGATTAATTCTTTATTGTTCAGTGTGATTACCAAAAAAAAAAAGCTGAATAAAGAACTGAATAAGATAAAGTTCTGCTACATAATGGTGATAGGACTGAGTGGAGTCCAATCTGGTCTGGAATCAAACGAGGGATTAAGAAAAATTGAACAATCACGAAGTGGGAGTCTAATTTGTCAATCATGAGTATGATTATGAACCAAATAGGACAACAAGAGTTGTTTTACTAATGAATCATAATCATCATAATTAAAAAAAATAAACTAACAAAAAAAAAAAAAAAAAAATAATCATCATAATTAAAAAAAATAAACTAACAAAAAAAAAAAAAAACAAATACATATTTAGCAGAATAATCCCTGTGTAAAAAGTCACACAATTGTTTTAACCTTTGATGCATTTTTCTGAAACATTTTTTGGAATATCTGTTTTATCTTAGAGGTTTTGCACAGCAGCCATGTTAGATGGCAGAAACAATAGATTATTTTACCCATGGGAAAAATTTTTCTTTCTTATGCAACATATTTTCATTGTTCCTGCCATCTAACATGGCTGCTGTGCAAAACCTCTATTAAGGAATCTCCATAAAAACTCTTGTTCTTAATTTATGACGATTAGTTTGTGTTTCATTCCTTGGGTTAAACTTTTGATACTGATTCCTTTTTTTAGATTGCAGGTTTTCTACAAACGGCTCCAGTTACCAGAAGTGTAGTGAAAGGGCAGAGACAAAAGACTGTTGAGCAAGACACTAAAAGATCATCTCGCTTATCAGTTGAAGCTGGAGACAATACCCCTAGAACAATCATTCAAAATTTCTTGCGAGAAGGTAAGTTACTTTATACCAGTTATGTAGTAACTTTTGCTTGTGTATCTTTCATTTACATTTATTGTTGAAAGACAAATTTTAAAATAACTTTTCCTTCCAAGTGAATGTAACAAGTTTTGGGCTTGAACATCTTTGATCTTTGAATTTCCCTCCTTTTTTTTTTCTGTTGAAAGATTAAACCATTAGCTCCCAGGAGTAGTGAAATGTATCCTTTCCTTTCAATTTCAAAGAATCAAGAGGGTCTGAGAATTATCAAATTATCAGTGGGAGGGTGTTGATAAACTCCAAATTCTCATAACTCATTTAATTGGAAATGCATAGCAGATAGAAAGGAGAATTTTAAACTAGATCATGTGAATTTGTCACCCTTTAGCATTAACAGAGACACCAGTTGAACCAGTGCTTCCAGAATCCTCAGATGCAGTGGATCAAGAAAAATCCCTGCAGTCAAGTGAACAAGAAAAGCTCTCATCTCTTGCATTAAGTGGTGTTGTTGATGATCAAATGACTGAAGCAGATGATCTTATGTTTGCCTCAACAAGTTCTCATTCTGCAGATAATACTACCCATGTAGAAGCAACAGCCCTAATGGTGTTGGACTCCTATATAGAAATGGATAATGCTACTGGGATGTAAGATTTTTATAATCATTTAAAATTCACACGAGTCAGTTTTAATGCTCCCTTTAAGCCCAAGGGGATTTATAAATCCTCATGGCTTCTTGACACAGACTTTATAGAAGATGGGAGCTAACAGTATTTAAACTTATTGAGAGACAAAATGTAAGCCTCTTTTATCTTGATTTGGACAGCTTTGGCTAGCACCATATATCAGATGAAATTACTTGGCCAAAATATGACAGTTCAAACAGGAAACTGACAAAGACTGTTCAAATATAAGACATATTATTTTGCATTGGAATGCTACCAACATCAAGTGATTACCAATAATATGTTAGAAGCATTAGCATAGTACAATGCATCAATGTCAAGAACATTTCAAAGGTGGAAGTTAATTTAATTTTTAATTTAGGAAAGGAGAGAGGGGGCTTCCTAGAACATTTAGGAGGTGCCAATATCAGTATAAATAAGACAGAAATAAAAATGTTTTTTTTGTTTTTCATTTACCAACATATTACAATGTAAGTGTCCTTTTTTATATGGTATCAAACAAGGACCATCTTTAAACTGTAAAAGCCAGGATTAATACTTCTCAACTTTAAGAGAAACAAGGGAAACAAGAGCATTGAGTTTTTAAAATTATATCTTATTAGGGGAAGTACTCAGGGAACACAACGAGAAGTTGATTCTCTGTTATCACTGCGAAGTCTGCAAGAAGACACTGAAAGGACAGGAAATGGAATGCAGACATCTCGTCCATGGAGAGAGCTGGTCACACCTCAGTTGCCTTTTAATGTATCTTTGCCAGGGAGTGAAAAGCTGGAACATGCAAGAAATGTTAAAGAAGAAAGGTGATAAAAATCTTGTACTTTCAGTGTGTTTAGTGGCTCAAGAAAAATTGACTGAAACTATATAAAGTGTCGTAGGTACCTGTACCTGCAAAAATTAACCAATAGACGGCTATCTATTGGTGTACCGGTGTTATAACCCAAAGGAGATGTTGGGAGAACAGGAGGAAAGTTTGTAGATCACAGGCCACATTGTTCTCCCAATTTATTATACAACTCGGGCAGTCAGAGGGCCAATAACTAAAGTCAACCAATCAAAATGCTCTATTGCTGGTCAATATTCTCTAAGTATTGGACC